GCGGGGCGGGGCGGTGCCGTGCGGGCGGTGGGCGGGGCGGGGGCCTCGCCGTGGGCTGGGGGCGCTCACTAGCACGGGGGCGCCGGCGTCCTTGCAGGTGAACAGCTTGAGGCAGAGCCGCACGAAGTAGGCGGGGCTTCCCGAGGCCCGGGGCACCTGCACCAGAACCGCCTTGCGCCTCCGGTCCACCCAGTAGCTGAGCCGCCCGGCTGCAGGAGGGCGGCAAGTCGGGGTCGTGCTCGGACCTGCGGTCACCGACGCGAGGCTCTGTCTGTCCCGAGAGCCCCGACGTGACGGCTCCCGCTTGGTTCAGGCGTTTGGGAGTCGCCCACCTGAGGACCCTCTAGGATTTCCCAAGTGGGCAGAAGACCCCAGGGAGAGGAAGCCTGTCGCAGCGTCCGGGCGTCTTCCCAAGGGCGTCGAAGTGGGGAACTCACCGAGGCAGTCGGGCACGCTCCTCCCCACGTCCTCCTCTCCGCAGCCTGCAAACCCAGAGGCAATGGCGGGGTGCGGGCTGCTCTGCTCTCACCGCACCCCTCTCCCCCCTCCCCCCCGCCCCGTGCCTCTGCAGTGCGACCTCGACCTCGAATTAAGCCAAAGGCCTTGCAGGCATCTGCCCAGCATGAGGTCCAGGCCCCTGCCCTGGGCAAGTCCCACCCCAGACCAGGCCCTGGGGGGTGAACGCAGCTATGCCCAGGGAGGCCCTGGGGATTCTACCTTCCACGAGGTGCCACTGGTCCAGCTGGACCCCGCAGAAATGAGGGATGGTTCTCAGGGTGACATAGAGGTGCTGTGCCACGCTCACCTCAAAGCAGCCAAAATGCACCTGGAGCTGAGCAGGTGCAGGTGTGAGCTTCGTGGACCCACTGGCACTGCCCACCCAACCCAGCCAGTTCCACTTGCATGGCTCGAGCCCAGGGCAAGGGATGGCACCCAGAAGGAGGGGCACCCAGTCTTTGGGACTTGGGTGGCACAGCCCCAGGATGGGCTGCCACATCAGAGCCTGGCCCTGGCCTCACCTGCTGCCCCACCTGCTGCTGGTGGGAGGCCCTGGCCACCCACACGCTCTGACACTGCGTCTCCTGGGTGTCCAGGCTTGTGGTGCAGGCCTCCAGGCCCCGCAGGCGCTCTGGGTGGAGGAGGGGCCCATGGGGTGTGTCAAAGCAGGTCACCCCGGCTCTGGATGGGGCGTGGGACCCCGTTCCTCCACCTTCTCTCTGTGAAGTGCGGTGAGCAATGCCCCCTCCCCCACCAGGCCACCCAGGGTTTGATGGGAATAAAAGGCACCTGGGCCCACTGCTTGACCTCCAGGTGTCACTCCCACCCTCGAGGCCGCCTCTCACCGTGCAGGGTGATGGAGGCGCATACACGCAGGAGCAGTGAGCAGCCGTTAGGGGTGATGCACTGCATGGCAGTGGAGGGGGTCAGGGTCTCCAGGACAGACATGGACATGGACACGGGGCGTGGCTGGCAGAAGCTGTTAAAAATGTTCCCTGGGGAGGGAGAAGGAGCATGAGGCCTCGAGTTCCGGGTGCTTGGAAAGACTTTGTGGGTGGTTCCGTGAAGGGGGAGAGCCTGGGGGCTGCAAAGTCTTCTGCTAGGGGGTCTTTACTCTCTCACCCCAAGCCAACTGGGGAGCCAGCCCCCTGGCATGTGGGGAGCCCACCTGAGACACTCTGAAGTGTCGGTGGTACCCAGGGTGGGCTGGGGTCAGGAGAGCAGACTGCACACCAGTCTGCATCAGAGCGGCGAAAGCTGCGGCCGCACCTGGCAGCAAGGGGGCATGGGGCCCACCCTTTCCTGCTGGCAAGCTCTGCTCAGAGACGAACAGCAGAAAAGGTCAACGCAGCTTTGCTGGGACATCTGGGCGTGACTCCAAGGTTGCTGCAGCCCAGGCCTCCATCCCAGGGAGGTAGCTGCATCGTCACAGGCAGGACTTGCCCCCAGGGCCTTTGGCTTTGAGACCCAACGCCATTGCCGGCAGTCTCACCAGACCTGGGCAAGGTGGAGCTGGGGTATCATTTTGGGCACTGGGGGCTGAGCAATTTTGCTGCCTTTACTCAGCCAGGTTTGCAGGTAGGACTCAGCAGAACTTCACGTGAGCCACGGAGCCTGGCAACTCCGCCATTCCACAGGAGGACTGCCACCTTCTTTACAGAAGGCATGGCCACGGAGGCATGGGACCCACAGGCTGTGGGTGAGACAGTGCAGCTGCTGCTCAGTGGAGCCCACACGGAACGCAGCACGCTGCTGAGGCAGGAGAGTAAGGAATGAGGGTAGCCAGGGACTAAGGGAGAAGCAAAAGCGCAGCAGGTGCAGCCAGTCCCAGCCTCCCTCCTGTGATAATGAGACACTCCACTTCAGCCTTTGATGGGTTGCAGGCCAGTTCTCCATAGAGTGTAACCCACTGGAGGGTTCTAACCACAAGCAACCATTTCAAGACAGTGGACATGAGGAAATGAAACACGGTGAGTCCTGGGAGACGGGGAACATCCAGGGAGCTCTGCGAATGCCCCACCATCTTGGGGGTGTTCCCAGGCAGTGGTGGGGGTGGCGTCCCATGTGGAGCTTGGCACACTCCCTGAGCTGAGGAGCTGGATGGAGCGCCCTGGCAGTGGGGGCTTCCTGACCGAGTATCAGAGGGGGGAGGATAATGCAGAGAGAAAACTCTGGGGAATATTCACTTTGCGGATACTCGGAGTATTCATGAACACATGCGTGTGAGGGAACCACCAGAAACGGAGAAAGAACCGCCCAGAAAAATTTGAGGGAGTGGGCCAGGCGCGGTGACTCAGGCCTATAATCCCAGCACTTTGGGAGGCTGAGGCGGGAAGATCAACTGAGACCAGGAGTTCAAGACCAGCCTGGCCAACACAGTGAAATCCTGTCTCTACTAAAAATACAAAAATTAGTTGGTGTGGTGGTGGGTGCCTGTAATCCCAGCTACTCGGGAGGCTGAGGCAGGAGAATCACTTGAACCCAGGAGGTGGAGGTTGCAGTGAGCAGAGATCACTTCATTGCACTCCAGCCTGGGCAACAGAGCGAGACTCCAAAAAAAAAAAAAAAAAAAAAAAAGCCAGGTGCGGTGGCTCATGCCTATAATCCCAGCACTTTGGGAGGCTGAGGCAGGCAGATCACAAGGTCAAGAGACCAAGACCAGCCTGGTCAACATGGTGAAGCCACGTCTCTACAAAGAATACAAAAATTAGCTGGGCGTGGTGGCACATGCCTGTAGTCTCAGCTACTTGGGAGGCTGAGGCAGGAGAATCGCTTGAACCCGGGAGGCAGAGGCTGCAGTGAGCTGAGATCACGCCACTGCACTCCAGCCTGGTGACAGTGTGATTCCGTCTCAAAAAAATTTTAAAGAATTTGAAGGAGCGTATCTTGGACTCACACAGGCTTGGGACTAGCCCCTGTTTGCAGCCAGACTGAGAACCTCATGACTCAAAGGGCACTGGGTACAGCACATAGAAGAGTTTGTCTCATTAGAAGGGGAGAATTAATCTTAGACTGAGCATTGCTCTGGTCCTTTCTAACAAATCGAAAAAGTAAAACCAATAAGACTAAGTTGTCTCCAAGAAACTTAACTGTCTGCCAGGAAAAGGCTCAAGAATATTTGTGGGAATAAAGAAAATGTTGTTTTTTCTCCCAGCACACAACAGGGTAAAATTCACAATGTCTGGCATCCTGTAAAAAATTACAAGCCATGCAAAGAATCAGGGAAAAAAACCCTAATTTGGAGAAAAATCAATTAAAACGAACACAAGTTTGTTTTTTTTGAGACAGGGACTCACTTTTGTCACGCAGGCTAGAGTATGAAATCTCAGGTCACTGCGACCTCTGCCTCCTGAGCTCAAGTCATTCTCCCTCCACAGGTGTGCAGCACCACACCCAGCTAATGTTAGTATTTTTTGTAGAGACCAAGATTTCACCATGTTGTCCAGGCTGCTCTCGAATGCCTGGGCTCAAGGGATCTACCCACCTCAACCTCCCAAAGACCCGGGATTACAGGTGTGAGCTATTGCATCTGGCCAAAAGGATCTACCCACCTCGACCTCCCAAAGTGCTGGGATTACAGGTGTGAGCTATTGCATCTGGCCAAAACTAACACAATATTGACACGCAGAATTAGTAGACAAGAGGCCGGGCACGGTGGCTCATGCCCGTAATCCCAGTAGTTTAGGAGGCCAAAGCAGGCAGATCACTTGAGGTCAGGAGTTTGAGACCAGACTGGCCAACATGGTGAAACTCCATTTCTACCAAAAATATAAAAATTAGCTGGGCATGGTGGTGCCTGCCTGTAATCCCAGCTACTCAGGAGGCTGAGGCAGGAGACTTGCTTGAACCCAGGAGGCGGAGGTTGCAGTGAGCTGAAATCATGCCACTGCACTCCGGTCTGGGTGACAGAAGGAGACTCTGGCTCAAAAAAAAAAAAAAAAGACAGGAACATTAATACAATTATTACTGTATTCCATACATTGAAAAGTTAATTATAGACATAGGATACATATTTAAAAAAAAAAAAATCCAACTTCTAGAACTGAAAACCACAATGTCTGATTGAAAAATACATCAGATAGTATTAACAGCGGGTTAGACACTGCAGAGGTGGGGGTGGGGGGAGAGGGAGAGGTGCTGGGGGACACAGCAATAGAAACTCTCCGAAAAGAAGCAGAGAAATGATGGTGATGATGATGAGCAAAGCATCAGTGGCCTGTAGGACAACCACAAGTGACCTCATATGTATAATTGGAGTCCCTGAAGGAAAGGAAGAAATTTTAAAAACTCAGGTTTGCACAGTGGCAGTATCGTAGCCAGTGAGGTTTATCCAAGGTGCGATTATTGCTAATTGAAAACTTTTCCCAATACCCCACCACGACGACTTGAAATATAGTTGGCATTGGCAATTTTTGACAGTCTCTATGGAAACTGAATAAAAAAAATTTAAACTCAAAAAAAAAGATGGAAAATTTCCAAACTTGATGAAACTATGGGAGTCACAGATCCAAGAAAATCAATGAGTGCTAAATATAAGAAACATGAAGAAAACGACACCAAGGCGTATTATAATCAATTTGCTTAAAAACCAATGATAAAGAGAAAATTCTATACTATGTAAAAAACACCTTTCCAAATTAAGAGTAAAGGTTTCTTTTGCAGACAAAAGCTGGAAGAATTTTCACCAGAAGACCCACATATCAAAGGATGTTAAAGAAAGTCCTTATAGCAGGAGGGAAAATAGTAACAGATGAAAATGGCGCCAAAGGAATAAAGATATCATAAATAGTAACTGGTGCTTATGGGAGATAGTTTGGCTGCGCTCAAGGGCTTACACCTGTAATTCCAGCACTTCAGGAGGCCGAGGTGGGCGGATCATGAGGTTGGGAGTTCGAGACCAGCCTGGCCAACACGGTGAAACCCAGTCTCTACTAAAAATACAAAAAGTAGCTGGGCATGGTGGCAGGCGCCTGTAATCCCAGCTACTGGGGAGGCTGAGGCAGGAGAATCACTTGAACCTGGAGGCAGAGGTTGCTGTGAGCCACGATCACGCCACTGCACTCCAGCCTGGGTGACAGAGCGAGACTACGTCTCAAAACAAAAACATGGCATCGTTCCTTCAGCCACATATATGCAAATCTATAAGAAAGGTGATACTGTAGACATGAAGGGAACTGTTCATAAGGGAAGCCCACAGGTGTTCCCACGGCAAAGCTGGAAGAGTTGACGGTTTCCCCAGCATGCTGCCGGCATTGTTGAAAATGAACAAGTTGAGGGCAAGATTCTTGCCAAGAGAATCAATGTGCACATCGAGCATGTTAGGCACCCTAAGAGCCGAGACTGCTCCCTGAAACGTGAAGGAAAATGATGAAAAAAGGAAGCCAAAGAGAAAGGCTCTGGTTCAGCTGAAGTGCCAGTCCCAGCCCGCTCCGCCCAGAGAAGCACACTGTGAGAACCAGTGGGAAGGAGCCTGAGCTGCTGATTATGAATTCACAGCATAGTAGGTGCTAAAAAAATAAGACCTCTGGACTACACAAAAAGAAAAACACAACATATAAAAACCTCTTAGATGCTTCTAAAGCAGCATTTTGGGGGAAATTCGCATCAACTCCTAACCTAGAAAAGAAGAAAGATCTCAGTGACTTTAGCTTCCACCTGAAGGAACTAGAGAAAGAAGAAATGACACCCAAAGTGAAAAGAAGAAGAATAAAATCAGAGTGGAAACCTAGGCAGTGGAAAGCAGAAGAGCAGTAAAGAAAATAATGAAACCAAATACTTAAGAAAGAATACCGGTTTTACTGATGCTTCCAGAAAGCGGATGATGAAGGAATCCTTCAGAACTCACTCTCAGGCACCAAAACCGGACACAGACATTACAAGAAGAGGCAACTGCAGGGCGACAAAGACTCTAAACAAAATGTTGGGAGGTGACCCCACGGGCAGAGGGAAAGATGATGTCTGTGGTGGGTTGTCCCACACGTGCAAGGCTGGCTTCACATGAGAAAATCAACCACTGTAACCCACCGTGTCCACAATTTTTTTTTTTTTTTTGAGATAGAATTTTACTCTGTCGCCCAGGCTGGAGTGCAATGATGTGATGTTGGTATACCGAGACCTCCACCTCCCGGGTTCAAGAGATTCTCCTGCCTCAGCCTCCTGAGTAGCTGGGATTACAGGTTTGAGTCTGGCTAATTTTGTACTTTTAGTAGAGATGGGGTTTCACCATGTTGGCCAGGCTGGTCTGGAACTCCTGACCTCAGGTGATCCGCCCACCCCGGCCTCCCAAAGTGCTGGGATTACAGGCGTGAGCCACCAGGCCCAGCTGACAAAATTTTTAAAAACCACTATGATCATCTCAATAGTCACAGAAACATTTTTGACAAAATTCGTCATCCATTCCTGATTAAAAAAAGAAATCTCAGCAAACAGGGAATGAAATTTCCTCAAATTGTTAAAGATGATCAATGTGTGATACAGGTGAAAAACCTATGTCTAACATCACATTTCACAGTGAAAGAATAGATTATTTCCCCCAGATCAAAAACAAAAAAATCCCTGCTCTTCTCAATCCCACTCAATACCGCAGTGGGGGACCCTACTCCACAAAATGAGGCAGGAAAAGAAATTGGCTTCCACTTGGAAGAAGTGAAGTGTGTTCCTTTGCCAATGACATGATTGTCTCTGCAGAAAATGTTAGTGTCTACAAAAAAAGCACTAAAACTAATAAGTTTAGCAAAATTGCAGGATACGAGATCAATATATAAAAAATCCGGTCCGGGCGCGGTGGCTCACGCCTGTAATCCCAGCACTGTGGGAGGCCGAGGCGGGTGGATCAC